GCTCCCTACCAGTGCCACGTGCAGCGGGCACAGTCCTGGTGCCACGCACCTCTCCTCTCCTGGAGGATCCCGACACCTCTGGCTGGCTGAGTTACCGTGCTGGGGAAAGCTCGCTTCCCCTCTGGCCACGCACCCGCTCGAAGGCCCTCATGCCCGTAACAGGGGTGCTCTCAGGGCTCTGCCCAGCCGGGAGCCGAGCCGCTGCCGCCGCCGGCAGCCCGTGCGCTCAGCCCGGCGCTCGCCGCAGCACCGCGGCACTAATTGCCGGCTGCAGCTACGTATAATCGATGCGATGCCGCTCCCCATCGGGGTCGGCAGCCGTGGGGAGGCTCAAACAAGCACCTGCGCCCGGGCTACGAGCGGCCTTGTCCATGAGCCGGGAGGGGGCTGGTCCGGCCCCGGCGCGCCGCGGGGCTCGCTCGGGAGCGGGGCCGCCCGGGCGGAGGCGGAGGCGGAGCTGGGGTCGGGCCCCGCCGGCGGTCGCTGTTCGTGGTGCTGAAGCCGGGCTGGGCCTCCCTCGTTCCGCGCTCGAGGGGACAAGAGGACGGAGCCAGCCCGGGGGGCGGCGCGGGGCTCTCCGCTCGCAGCGCTCCCCGGAGCCGCCGCCGCCGCCCGGTGCGGGCGGGGTGCCCGGGCCGGCGGGGCCGCTCCCGCCCGCCGGCGGTCAGTAGATGGCGCAGAACCCCCGGGAACCGAGGGGCGACGAGCGAGGGCTGCGGACGGCACGATGGCCCCGGCCGGTCGGGGCGGGCACGGCGCCCACAGCCCGGCTGCGTGACCCGGGGCGGCCCCGGCGGCACCACGGGCGGGAGCCGCCCTGCTTTGAGGCTGTGCGATTCAAACGGCAGCGAGGGTGGGACGGGGCACGGCCCCCGGGTGCCGCCCCGCCACGCGGCGGGTAATGAAAACAAACAAACAGCCGAGCGGGCGCACGCACGAGCAAACAAGCGGGGCCGAGCCGTGCTGCGGGCGGCGGCTCCGCCAGGCCCGGCCCAGTGCGGAGGAACGCGGCTCGCCCGGCCCTCTCCTCCTCCCGCTGGGCAAACATTAACGAAGGGCAAACGCGGCTGTAAATCAATCCCGCCGAAGGACACGGCCGGCAAACAAGCGCGCCCCAGCGCTGCCCTGGCTGCGCACCGGGCACGACTGCTCCGGGTGCTCTCCCACCTCCGATCCCCCCGGGCCAGGGCCCCTAGCCTCGGCCCAAGCACAGCTCCAGCAGCAGTGGAGTAGCCGCTGTCACGGCCCAAGGTGCACCGAGCCAGGCCGGGGCCGCCCCCGTCCGAGCGGTCCGCGGGGTCGGGAGGGGAAGGGCCTGTGTCCCCCGGGCCCGCTCCGCGCTCGGAGTGTCGCCGGTGAAGGCCCCGGTCGATGCCCCCTCCTCCCTGATGCAAACGCCTTTATGCAAAGTGCCCGCAGGGTAAATATTAAACAGCCCCTAATGAGGCCGCCGGGGCCGGGGCGGCCCAGACCTTCCCGGCGCGCTCGGGGCGGCGGCGGGCGAGAGGTGCAAACGGCGTCATTAGATTTCATATTTAATGTGGAAAACGCTCTGATTACTCCATCGATTTCTTTACAGTTAATTTGGCGAGAATTCCTCGCCGGCTTCCCAAGGCTTCAGCTTAGTCGGGATTCGCATTAGGAGGGAGAAAGGATAAGAGGAGGGGAGAAAAAGGGGTGCAGCTATGAAAAATACCAGTCAGGTCGCAGGCAAACATGGAGCAGCTTTGGAGGACGGGCCTGCCCGCTCCGAGAGCCGCGGGCGAGCGCGGGTTCCCCACGGCGCCTTTCCCCGCTGACACCGCTCGGGGACCCCCACGGAGGGGCCCTTCGGGCCCGCTCGCTCAGAGGGCGCACATGGCAAAGGGCCCCCTCCGGCAGTAGATTCTGAGGAACCTTGGGCTCCCTTACACTCCTCTAGCGCGTTCGCAAAATGTCTTAGCCACGTTTTCCCTGGCCTCCTCCTTCCTCCCGATCGGCGGGCCTGTGCGAGGCCGGCGGGCAGTCGCAGTTCCAACAATGAATGGCTCGAAGCAGATTATTTTTTCCTGAACAAAACAAAGTCCGGTTTTTTTTTTTTTTTTTTTTTTTTTTTTCTTCCTTTATCTCCTCCTGTTTCCTCTCTCACACACGCGAAAAAAAAAATCCAACAAATTGAAATGAATTCAGCCTTAAACCCCAGCAGGCTGTAGAAGGGATGTACCTTTTCTTTTAGTTGCATTTATTTTTTCGGCGTCCCTTCACAGCCCTTCCAAATGTCAATGAAGGCGAGGGAGAGGGAGGGAAGACTAACAGAGAGACAGTCAAATATTCAGTGATAGAGAGGAGAGAGAGAGTGGACAGACAAAGGAAAAAAGAACAGAGAAGAGAAGGGAGATGGGATGAATAAGATGGAGGCTGGAAGAGGTCAGCTTTGCAATTAGCAGTTCTGCTTACATTTCAAGAGACAGCCCAGGAAGTGTCAAGACCTCAATCCTGCTTCCATGTAACTACCAATTTTTCTTCTATTTGTCGGAGCTTCTGTAATCTGGGAGGTAGGAATCCCCCAGGGACGGCTGCAAGGGGCAAATACTCAAGATAAAGTGCAAGGCGAGACCGCGAGGCCTAAAATAAGCAGGCTCCATCCCCCTCACTGCCTCCCGGTTGTTGTCTTCAAGAAATCGGAAAAGGAAGAAATGAAGGCGGCTCTGGGTATTTATCTACCTGATAATTCTCTAAACGCCCGGGAGTGAGTTATAATTTGGACGTGAAATTTAATTTGCGTCGGCTGCAGTAATTTATGTTATTTTGAATTGATGTTCATACATCAATATCAATCGGGGAAGATTTTTACCACTTAGTAAGATCATCACACATTTAAAACCTTCACAAAATAAAATCGATACTTTATGCATTTACAGCCGGTCGCCGGCAGCGCGGCGCAGAGGGGCGCGGAAGGGCGCGCAGGCTGCGCGGGGCGGGGCGCGGCCCCGGGACCGCCCCGCTGACAGGGACGCAGCTCTATGCAAATGCCCACGTGCTGCCGGCGCCCCGGTGGGCAGCGCCCGGCGAGGCCCGGAGCCCCCGGTACGCGGGGAGAGCCCTGCAGGGCCCGGCCCGGCCCGGCCCGGCCGCGAGGGACGCGCGGGCTCCGGGTGCGGGCGGTACATCCCGACCCCCCGTGCTGCCAAGCCCTCTTCGCCCCGGGGAGGCTGTTTCTGTAAGGTGCCAGCTTTCGGGTTTCATCGGAAAGGGAAGGCGGAATAATGAGGCTTTGTCTCTCTAACGGGATTACCGGGATCCGTTTATGAGAGGGCAGCGCTGAGGTGGCTGGAAGAAGGGGCGGTCTGGGGGCAGAAGCGAACAATGGGACGCTCCGGACCCGGCAGCTGGGCAGAGCACGGCCGCCTCCCTCCCTCCCTCCCTCCCGGCCCTGCAGCAGCCAGGGCTGGCAGAGCTTCCCGGCCGGCAGCGCCAGGGAAGGGATGCCAGCAGGCTCCGAATCGAGGGGTTGTTTCCAGTATCGATCTATGCAAATGAGCGGAGATTCAGGTCGACCAAATTGTCGTAAAAATACGCTCCAAATCGAAGAAAGTTCGCCTTAGCAATCGTTACGGGTATATTAGAAACACAAACTCCATCCTCCTCTCCTGGGTAGCCCCAGCAAGACGAGGGTTTTTCGCTGGTGGGGTGGCTGCTGAGAAAGGGAAGGCGGAAAGCGCAGTTTCAGAGAGCTCAGACCTTTGAAACTGACTCCGCAGGAGTGGAAGCCAAAGAGAGCAACGTCCTCCCACCGGCGGGCACCTAAGGGCCAACTACAGCGGGTAGGGAGGTCCTTCCCGGACCCTTCCTGGCTCTGCTTTAGGTTTCTGGAGCAAGGTGGTTGACTGAAATGGACACGGAGCACGGTGGTGGCCCAGCTGTGTCTCTGCACACTCGGGAAACGGTCGCAAGCTCTCACCGTCTCGGTAGTCGAAAGCGCAAAACGAGTTGTGCTTTTGAAAGGAGAAAGATTTGGCCCTTCCCTTATTTTTGTCTGTGAAACGGATCAGTGACCCTGGCTCCAACTCGGATTGACTGTCTTGCGTTCTCCAGGGACAAATTAATGGAGACCTATCACTTAATTAACAAACCCTCACTGACGGTATATTAAACCCGGGCTCTGCAGACGGGAGGGTTTGGGGAGGCGGCGGCAGAGCACAGGTACGGACCGGGACGGCCATCTCTGAGCAGACAATACGGGACCCGCTCGGGAGCACACCGGGCAGCAAGCGCGACAGCGGGGGGAGGCTGCGGGGCAGCGAAGCCGCGACACGGGTTTGTCTCACGCAGAGACATCCACGAGAAACTCAAAGTGCGCGGCCTAATGATAACTACAACCAGTTAAAAACAAACAAACAAACAAACAAAAAAACCCAAACAAACGAATCCAACGATTTTAGCCACCAGCATTTCTCAGGCACCGCTCATTCGCTGCTGTCCCATCTCACCCAGCCCGAGCGGGACGCTGGCCCCGAGCCCCGCCGCGACGCGAGCCCACCGCCCCCCACACAAAGCAGGCGCACCGACTCCTCTCGGCGGCGCATTACCGGGGCTCCCCCGTACCCCGTCCGTGGGCCCGGTCAGCCGCCAATTCAAGCATTTCCGCCTCGCCCTCCGCGCTGCGGGCAGCGTTGCCGCCGGCCGGTGCGGCTTTCGGCGGCGTCCCGTTACCGGGCGCGCTGGGCGTCTTTCTGCCGGCGGCAGGAGAGCCTGGCGGGCTCGCCCGGCCGGGGCACGGGGAGAGCCGGGGCGCCGCACTGCGCAGCCCGAGCCCCGGCTCGGCTTTGTCTGAGCGCGGCGCAGAGGAACCGGACGGTGCCGGTGCGCCGAGCCGAGAGAGGGAGAGGGGAAGGTAGAGAAATGGAGTGGCGGAGCGGGGGATCGGTGCTGCTCTTCAGGGACGGGCAGGGACTGCGGCGGCCTGCCCAGGCCCGAGGCCCCGCTCTGCCGCTGCCCCGAACACCCCGCAGCGGGCTCACCTGCAAGCCGCAGAGCAGACATCCGCTGAAACTCCGGCTCCTGGAGCCACTTCCACATTCTGCGGAAGGTCTCCCGGCCGGATTTGAGCTTGCTCCAGGGCTTGGGGTTCCTCAGCAGGTCTGAGAGCGTCCCTTGAGAGCGGCACAGCACCCTCTGGGCGAAGATAGCCTGGGGGATGCTGTACCGCTTGAGCTCGGTGGTGATCCTCTGAGCTACTTCTTTGGTATTGATTTCTTCCATTTGCCCTGAATTACTTCCACTGTTGACCTGCGAACCAGTTACAGAAGGGTTTTGCTCCCTGGCAGAGCCCAGGATCTGCCCGTGGCTCTGGGCATTCAAGTGGGCATGGGGGTGGTGTGGGATCCCGTTGATAGGCACCATGCCAGCGGAGGTGGGGGTGAGGTGTTGGTCGCCATGCCTGGCTAACATGGCAGGGTGGTGGGCTTCAAATCCGTTTGGGGTGAGCATTTTCTCGGCGGGCATGGTGGCACTGGGATGAGCGTAGTGGGGCAGCCCTTGCTGGGAGTTGTGGATGCTCCCCAGGCCCGATCCAGACAACGGAGAGAGGCTCTGTCCCATGCCGGTAACATCCTTGTGGTAGGGGGTGTAGAGATTGTTCATAGACGCCAGACCCCTCTCGTCCCGCATGAGCGTGAAGCTGCCGCTCACGTTGCCCGGTATCCGCTGGTGGGGATGGTGATGGTGGTGGTGATGGTGGTGGTGGTGAGGGAACTTGTCCGAGACCGTCGAGATGGGAGGTAGAGGCTGCAGAGGGGTTAACGTGGTGTAGGTGCTGCTCATGCTCATGCCGGGGGGTGTCTCGCAGGCCATGGTCATGGTGGGGTGCAGGGGGCCGGTCAGCGCGTGCTCGGGCGGCCGGTGGTGGTGGTGGTAGTCGCCGCCGTCGAGGATGGACGCCATGCCCATGGAGCGCGGGTGGGCCGGCAGGTGGCTGCTGCGGTGGGCCACCGCGCTCCGGTGGTGGGGGCTGCCGCTCATCAGGTCGGCGGCGGCGGGCACCGGCTCATGGCTCACCCCGTGCAGATCGCCGATGTTCTCCATCGCCAGCTGCGCGTTCATCGTCGGCCGTGCGGGCGGCGGGACCGCACATCTATCTGGTGGGCGGCGGGGCGTCCCGGAGCTCTTGGCGGCGGCCGGTTGCTCCCGCGGGCCGGCGGCGGCGGGCGAGCGCTGCGGGCTGGTGGTGGCGGTGCTGCTGCTGCTGTTGCCGGGCTGCTGGCTTTCCCGGTTTTCGGTTGGTCGGTTTGGTTTTTGGTTTTG